TCTCTCACAAACAACAAATAAAGTTTTGTGGTTTCTTCTCATCATAGGTAGGTATATTTTTTTATACTTATGTGTAGGCATTTTTAAAATTTTTTTCTTTTTCCTATGAATAGAATAGAATCTTTTATGTTTGTTCCTAGCTCCCCCCTCCCTGCATTTACTCCAGAGCATGAGCCATTGTTACGATTCTGGTATCTATCATCTTCTGTGGGAGGCATTTGACTTTTTCAAGAGCAGAATCACGGGGCACTAGTACTGAGGTATGGATCAGCAGGTGGACGGATGGAGAGGAGACAGGGGACATCAAACAGCAGAGTATGGAGTCTAGTCAGTTATAGAGACCCTGAATCTATGAAGGAAGCATTATGGAATGAAGGAGGTGTCAGGAAGTGAAGAGGGTGCCTTCATTTCTTGCTATCTTTGTTGATTTCAGAGATCCAAGCCAGAAATCAATTATTTATCACATTGGCTTAACCACTTCACAATGAAGGGGCATTTCCCAAAGTGTTTGGCAAATGTTTGATCAATAGTCATTACTGCCAGTGTTTTTAAGTTTCAGCTCTATTTCTAGATTTCTTGATATTCCATAGGAAGGAACCTGTATGTGTATAGGGTGGTGAGGAGTAAGAGGGCAACCCTTGCCACCACAATCCCAAAGTTAGAAAGTAAGACTTTCCTACAGAACAGGTGTTTAAGCTAAGAGTCCTGGAAAGCTGAGACCCCACTCCAGCTTTATCACACCTGCCCCTTGGTTTAGCTTTCTCCATGGGCAGAGTCAGACAGAAGAGAAGGCAGTAGTCACTCAGGCATGAATGCATCCCATGGCCCATTGTTATCAAGCTCACCTTGCTACCCAGACCAACAGTTTTAACCTACAGACACGGATGAGTTCAAATTTATAAGGAGCATGGTAAGTAGTGATGTGAAAATTGAAGTATGATTATTCAAAAATGTTTTTTTTATCATTCACATTTAGCACTGCAAAAAGATGCACTTTCCAGGTATTTCCATAGATCACTCTGATAACACGACATTGGAATGAGATGACATTGGGAGATGAATGAGCTCAGCAAGTTAATGAATCTGTTCAGATGGAGCTGGTCTTGAACTCACAGGAACTGCTATCTCCTAAAGCCCCATTTCCACCCAGAAGGGCTCTTTTCCTGCTTATGCAGGAAGGTCATGCAATTTTGATATATTACCAGATGGATTCAAGGAAGGATGGACCTGGATGAACTTGCCAAGCAGGCTGGGCCTGTCTTACTCTATATATGCAGGACTGGGGTTGAAGGCTGCCTGTGCCCTGTAAAGAACTGCAGATCCCACCTGACACCTACTCATCTACTTCATTGGCTGGCTCACTTTAAGCCCTGGGACCAATACAGTAAAAGCTGAAAGGAGAGACCTAGAAATCCTCCCAACATCCCTAACTATGTGGAACCCAAAAGAAGCCTTACATGGCACTCATTGGGTCTGTGAGACTGTGTGTTGGAGGGGCTATGTCTAAATGGACAGTGGCAGTGAGCCATAAGGGGGTTTCTGTAAGGTATAGCTATGGGTCTCCTTGGGTTTAGGTGAGAGATGGGGTTGATTTCACATAACTCTAGATATTTCTACTTACTGAGTAGCTGTGGGCAAACTTCTGGCTCTCTCTGGGTGAGCATCTGATTTGACCTTAGGGTCACCAGATGGACATTCTTACCCATCAGATTTCAGGGTGGACATGCTGAGATGATGTGAAGGAGTCTCACAGAGCCAGGCTGCTCTAAGTGCTCTCTATATGCCATCACTTGACCACTGTCCTCCAAATTTTTGTTCAAAGGCCAGACCAATCCCCAACCCATACTTTGTTGGACAGGAAGGCATTTCTGGCTTCTTTTCTATGTCCAATTTTGGCCTCTGGCCCTTTCTCAGCTTGAGGTGCCCCATTTGTACAGCTGTTCATCTAGTTCTGTCCCTTCTGACTGAATGGAATTCTCAGGGTGGGTGTCTCCTTTTGTTCAGAGCACAAGACTGGTGTGTGTGTGTGTTGGGGGGTGGGGAGGTGGTATTGCAATATGGAGAGGCTCCACAACCTCCTGGAGGAATCTCAGAGCCTCTATCATCACGTTATGCCCTGCTGCATGTCAAAAGGCAACAGAGTTCTCCTCATCCACTTCTTATCAGTAGTATCCAGAGGCTTTCAGCCAGCATGGACCTACTAAATATGCACAAAGCACCAGCCAATGAGGGCCTGATTTGACTCCATTCAGGAAGTTTCACCTGGTAGCAATCACACAACTTCTGGGCACTGACAATCATCCTCCAAGCCCTGAACCCTATCTTTATGGAGAGCTTAAGAATGGGGTGTCCAGGCAGATGAGTCCCAGGGCAGTCAGGGGAGGACTCTCAAAGGTAAGGCCTCATCAATACAGCCTTCCAGTGACCTCATCAATGTAACCATCACCAGGTCATAAAGCTGACCTCATAGGGGATTGGGCAGGGGAAGGAAGTGAAACAGACATCAAATCCAGTCCAACTCTCTGAGTCCTTGAGTTTGAACATGGGCAAGTCACTCAATTTTTCTATACTTTAGCTCCCCAGGTCAGACTGGAAATCTACTAGCCCCTCCTGTTCAGTTACTGGGACGATGAAAACAGGGAAAGTTCTGAGGCTCGCCTTTGGCCCACAGGATGACTCACTAAATAACAGCCATCAATCAGTATTGTGACATTCCAAGGAAGACAACTAAGTGATGTGTTTTTTCCCTATGTCACCAGATGATGAAAGAAGACCAGAGCTTTAACACCTGGTAAAGGGGTCAGTGTTGGCCCTGCAGCACTATCGACCACATCCACCAGCCCTGCTGGTCTCCAGTGAATAGCAGGAGGACTGCACAGGGGCCATGCACAGACACTGTCAGGGAAACTCCAGAGGGACCTGACCTGTCCCATGTCTTAGGCATTCCTTCTAGGCACAACAGTGGCCATTCTTCCCATTGGGAGCATCCCCGTGTTTGGCTCACCTGGTCCCTGGGATGATTACCAAGTCAATGGCATTAGGTGGCAGCTTGGGTGGAAATACTGGCTTCATAAAGTCAGTATTGCCATGAAAAACAAATATTGGAAGGATGTGTGGTGGGCAAGCAGACGTCTTCAAAGGGGAACATGTGGTGGGCCTGGGGTCCTGGGCAGAAGCTCCAGGAAAGGGAGGGGGCATACAGGGAGAGGGTAGAAAAGTGGTATCAATGTCCTTCTCATGAGCAGGTACCTGAGACCTGGACAGAGAGAAGAGGAAGGCAGTGAGGAGGCCAGAAGAGGGCAGCACATGGCCTCAAGCTCTGGAGTCCAGGCCTCTCTGGCCCTGAGTGGATAGGCCCAGGCCTTGCAGACTGGAACAGACCATTGGTAGTGGCCTTGTCCTCTGGAGAGCATGTTTTGGCTTCTCTGTGGCCCATTATCAGGGGAGTTGCAGGGCTGGCTTCCCAGCTGTCTGTGAGGCTTTAGAGGGGCTAGAAGCTCCCGGGAGGAGTAATGTATCCACCCAAGACAGGCAAAACCAGGGAGGAGGAGCACAAAGCTGGTGGTGATTGGGTGCTCTTCCTTCCTCAACACCATTTTTTGTGGGAGCCTGTGCACCCCTGTCCCATGCCCAATGCTGCTGCCTGGCCTGCTTCTCCCTCACCAAGATGTGCCCTGGCTCTTCTGGGCTAAGCAGGGCTCCTCAGGCTTTGACATTACACCCTAGGGCTCAACCCCTGCACAGGGAACTTGTGATGCCCTTCAGGACCTGTATCTGTGCCTCTTCCTGTTGTGACTCTTGCCATCCTACCTCAGTGAGCTGCAGAGTCAATGCGTTGTGCTTTTTCTTTGCTCTGTCTGAGGACAATGACATTTCTTGAGTTTTCATGGTGGGAAGAAGGTGGCTCAGCACTGGTCCTTTTTTGTTTTAATTGTCCTTGACCTTGAAAGTCTCTCTGTGATTCACTGTGTCTTGACTCATCTACCATGAACCAGCACTCCAACACCAAAACCACTTCCAGAGTCGGACATGGTCTCTGAGTACCAGAGACTGGCCAGAAGTCAACGATTGGCCATAGTCCAGAATTCTGAATGCTGATAAAAACGCTATCGTTGCTGGAATAAGTCATCTGGGATGGAGTGAACCCTTGTGTCTACTGGCCTCCCTAGCCAGAAGCTTGCGGTGGGCCTCTGGTTATCCTCTAGCATGAAATGATCCAGGACCAGTTCCACAAAACCAAGTCCTATCCAGGGCTCAGGATTTTATGAAATAAACTAGCTACCCTGTCAACCAAGGGGTCAAAAGAGCCCCACCAAAGGGCCCTTCTTACCTCCATTAGGCCGGATCCACACCCACAACAGGAGACGATCACTGTGGGGCAAGGATTTGTAGGTGGTGGCGCTGGTGGTGGAGGGGGTGGTTTTTCTTTTGGCTTCTAGAAGAGAAAAGCACGTCTCTGCATCCTTGTCTATAGGTGCTGAGGAGCTGAACATGGTGTCCCTGGCACAGGCACCTGGCACTTTGGGGCCACTCAGCTAATGTTGTGGGATACATGAAAAGACAAGTAAGTGGTATCCCATAGCAAGGGGAGTACCCTCCACAAGCAGAACAGCTAGACTCTCCCTGTTCGTACATCTGGCTCCTCCTCAAACTGACCTCACTTCTGTGTTCTTAGCTCTCAGATACTCCCTTGCTGGAAGAAGCCTGGCCAGGAGGATGTGGTTCAGTGGCCCTGCCTCTGCAGATGCCTGTCACTCCAGCTGGCTATGGCAGGTGCAGATGCAGCCATCCCAGGCCAATTTGAAGCCAGTACAGATTCCACCTGGGCAGAGAGGCCAGCTTCCTACAATATTCCAGACCCAGGTGCCCCTGACCCAGACCCACCCTCAGCCTTGCCAGGAGACAGGGATGAAGACTCATTCAAAGGAGCCAAACCAACCTCCAGAGTCTAGAGATGGGAACGAGCACCTGAAACTTGAGGTTCCTATTGCAAAAGGCTCCCTGATTACTCAGCATTCTACAGTAAGTCCTTTGAGTCCCACAGAAAGCCCACTTACTTTAGTAGAGATCATCACATTTTCTGAACATGCCTTCAAGGCACTATTTTTGTAGCACAGATTCATGGTTAAGAATTTCTGGGTGCCTGGAGGGGAGTTGTATGGGTGATATCAACCTAGTCAATGTCCTCCCCAGAGCCCTCTTTGACCCTCTGTTCCCATTGTCTTTCCCCAGGTAGGTTGAGCTCCAGGGCACAGGCTTCCTGATGCCTCTTTTGAAGGTCAGTGTTGTTCTCAGGTAAGTAACAAAGTCTTGATTCAAACCTGCACGTACCTTTTGTGGAGGTGGCTTCATGATATCCTGGAATGTTAAACAGACAAAAGTCAGGAAGTGGAGGGGGTGTCATGGATTCTGCCTGGGCTCTGCAGTCAGAGGGGACACTGGGATGGAGCAAAGAAATGGAACATGGCTTGGCTTTGGTGTGTGTGTGGGGGGGGGCAGGGGTTCCCTGTGCCTAAGGTGCTCTGTGTAGCAGGCTCCACCTGACCCATTGGGTGTCTCATGCTTCCTAGAAGGGTTATGGAAGATGAGCCAGGCCAAGCAGCCTACCCCTAGAGAGGCTCAGCTGCTGGAGTGCTGCACATCTAACCAGAACCTACCTGGAGCCAGAACACACTCTGGCCTCTCTTCCTCTGGAGATCCTCTCTGTCTCTGGTGCCCTCACTTGCCTCCGCACCTTGGGATAGTCATAGGCTTTCTCTGCTCACTGCTCCCACTGTGCACAATGAGGACCCTCCTGCCCTGTGCTGGCTGTTGTCCTTCCCACATCAGCTCTTTCTGCTTCCATTCCCTAGTTCTCTGATGTTCCTTCCAACCCTGCTCTCTAGAGCCTCTGCCTTCCCTAATGCCCCCAGGGTGCGAGTCTCAGTCCTTTGCTATTGCTTTGCTGTACTCAGGACACTGACTGCATCCTACTCAGAGTGACATCTCACTCTCATGCCCTGAATGAACTCAGGTCTGGGAGCTCCCCATGGCCAGGAGGGTACCTGCTTCCTTTCTCTACCTCTGGAGCCCATCATGGGCCTCTAATCACTGGCATTCAGCCATGGGAGATGAAGAAATGGCAGAAGGCACCACAAGGGTGCAGAGATCCATGTTGGTTTAACAGCTCCTCTGGCCCAGAAGTTGCTACTCCTCCCTGGCCAGCATCACTCGGCATTTGGGGCCATCAACCCTTCCTGGGTTCCCTCTCCTACTCTTTCTTCCACACAGAGGCCAGCCCTGGGTCCTTGTCCATCCAAGGCCTGCTGAAGTCCAGTTTCTGAGAGCTTCCCCTGGTTCCAGAGGTTCTGATATCCTTCTCCAGGGCCTAGGGCAGGCCTAAAACAAGCATCCACGTGTCCCAGGCCAACTCTCTGAGCCAGCCTGGGAAGGGATCATGTCATGAGTCCAGGCTGTGTCTAGAGTCTGGGAACGTGAGGTTAATCTGTGCCTCCACTGGACCTTGCATACTCAGAACTCATGGGCAACTCCCTCGCATAGAGGGTATGTGCTGGGGGTTGGGCATACTCACCGTGAGGCATAGTTTCCAGCAACAGTACAGCAACAGTGGGATCAGCAGCAAGAGTGGCAGCCAGGCAAGAAACCCCAGGTCATAGGTTTTTTTCTCAATAACGGTGACAGTATTTTCAGTGTTGACTGGGGGACTCTGGCCACCCTGAAGAAAATAATGTAGCTGATAATCCTAATGGCAGGGGCCCTGGGAAAGACTTAAGGGCTTTTTCCTAACTGCCCACCCCCTTGCTTTCCATCTGTTCCAGTTTTAGTTCTCAGGTTGCCTGACCTTCAAGGATATCATGGGGTGAAGGGGGTGAGCAGTTCCATAGAGGGTTGCAGACTCTGCCTCTGGTCCTGCTGAAAGACTTCTGGATATTGAGATCTCATTGTCCAAAGCATGAGGAGGAAGACCTCAGCAATGTGAAGGGGAGTATGGTCAGACCATGATTTGTCCTCATGGTATCTTATGTCTTTATTCTGGACATACAATAACCCAGAAGCTTCACATCTGATGAACCTGGCCCTCACTGTTCACCTCAGTTTACAATTCAGGACCTTGTAAAGATGACAGAAAGTACAAAAAGTGCCCAGATAGGGGACCCCAGAGAGGTACAGACACAAGATAGGAACAGGAGACAGCTGTCTGTCAACCTATAAACTCTCCCAACTTCCTAGCTCTATAGCCATAACCTTACCTACTCCTTTCTCTGAGTCTCAGCTAGCACATCTACACAAGGGGAAGCTACACCACTGCTTTATGGGCATTTGTCAATTCAGAGAGTTTAGAATATCCTTGCTTGGGCGAAGGTTCACTTGGGGTTTAAGAAGTGGGGGCTTATTCTTCTGGTTTTAATTCTTATTTCAGGGATCCCAGGCTACCCTCTGGGGACACAGCCTTCCCCACTATCTCCCGAGTCAAGTGATTGCTTAGAGTGAAGCTTAAGAAAGGATACAGGGGAGGAGCCTATGCCAAGAAAACAGGTGGCTGAAAGGAGAAGCAACGCAGAGAGCAGAAGTGATGGGCGCTGGCTGGGCTGGAGTCACTGGACGGCTAATCGTGCTCTTTCCTAACTGTGCCTATTGCAGGAAGGGCTATGAACAGGTTGTCTCTTGATGAGCAGATGTGGGTTCAGTCTGCTGATCTATGCATGGATGTGCAGGAGTAAGCCAAGGCAGACTTTGAGGGGGACTGTCAACCCTGTAGGGTCTTCACAAGCTGACACTGAATATAAGGGTGAGCGACAAGTAGGTACAAGCCTCCTCTTTCCTGGCCTCCTATTATCTTACATTTGGCTAAATTGCTGGGATGATGTAAAGCTCAGAAAAGACACACTGGGTGGGTAACACCCTCTTTTTCAGATTGCTCTTGCTGAGCTGAGAAGGCCACACACAACTGGTAGCTGTTTTACAACCACAGTGGGGTGGGATAGGAGGAGGTGTGCACTGCAGGTGAAAGGGAGCCCACAGAGGGAGACAGCTGGGGCAGAGAGGAGACTGAGGACTCAGGCATGCCTGAAGGGCTACTGAGCAGGCCTCAAGGCTGGGTCCAGAATGAATTTGGTATCACATCCATGACTGAGGCACCAATTCAGGGCACACACACATCCTACCTCAGCAGGCAGAACCACCCAGATCCCTGTGCCTAGGCATTCCCACATGGAATGGGTGGGCACCCTAGATGTCATAGACTCTAGCATGTAACAGGCAACTATCCAGGCTCCCACACTGGCCCAGCTGGAATTTAGAGGAACCTGTCTGCCCAAGCTGCTTTGTAGGCCTACCTGGGACCTTCTGCCTTTCTGATCTGTCCAGGGTGCATTGGCATCTAGAACAGGGGCTCTGGACAGCACAAGGGGCGCTGAATCCCCACCCAGGTACTTACGCCACACTTAGTGCTGTTAATGCTGTGTTTGTTCCCAAGGAAGCTCTCACCATTGTTCAAGCTGACTTCAACAAATACCTCCCTAATGCACAGAAAGGGCAGATATTGAGAACCAGCCGAGAAAGACTCGGTTCAGGCCCTTGGGGAACCGTAGCCCACTAAAATCTTCATTATAATAAATCTGACATTTCAGCATTTAAGACCCCCAGAGAGTATATAGGGGGATATTGAGAGCTCATCACACAAAGCATGAGGAGGAAGACCTCAGCAATGTGAAGAAGACTATGGGTCAGACCATGATTTGTCCTCATGGCATCTGATGTCATCATGGCCATAGACTAAAGAACCAGAGAGGTGTGCATGGCGTCACCATCCTTAATTTTATTACAGAATGTATAGTTTTTGCTCTGCAAGGCAATTGAAACAAGGGTAACAGTCTTTGCACATATTGTCTCCTGCATCCTTCCCTCATCAGAGCTTGAGCTACTGTGGATCCCTGAACCCCTTGCTAGTCACCAAAAAGGGCAGGTGGTGAAGGTGCCCTTAGCCCACTCCCAGATAGACATCCATCCTGGCAGAGGAGCCATTCCAAATTCTCTACACATAGTGGTGGTAAACACTGAGCACCTGATCTCCCACCCTAAGACATTCAAGCAAGGGTACTTACTCATCAGGTTGTTTTATCTCTGCTCCAGGACAAGTTATGGAAGTGTCATTGGAATCCTTAGGTTTCTTATCTGAAGAGAAAATGGCATGACTATGTCAATGGATCTGTACATCTAATTTGTCACCCCTCTGTCAATCAGGAAAACCAGATGGTGTGGGTTGTGTATGATGGAGATTAGATGGTGGGTGCTTTAAACTCATGGACAATTCTTGCTATTTATGTAGGCTATGGACCGTGTTCATTAAAAGGAAAAAAAAAGTTCTCTCCGAGGAGCTGATATTTGAGCTGAGACCAACCAGACAATAAGTATCCAAAGAACAGCAGAAGAAAGAGTTTTCTGTTCTATGAGAGTGGCATCTGCCAAGGACCTGAGGCATGAACTACTGAGCTTGTTGAGTTGGAAAGGAATGAGCCAAGAGAGGTAGATAAGGTGAGTGGGAAGAACCTGGGAAGAGTTTTGTTTTATTTCAAGTCTGATGGATTTTGCAGGAGCTGCATAGATTCTAGTCATTGTTTAGCTATAAATGTTGCAAGATTTTATGGTGGACTGGGTATGGGGAGAGAACTAAGAGAAATCAAAGATGACACTAGGTTTTTCTGGGATTTTCAACCAGAGGGAGTGGGTGGATGGTAGTGCCATCTGAGAAGGGGAAACCTGAGGAAGGTATAGGGCTTCCTCCCCTCCCCTCCCCTCTCCTTTTCTTTCCTTCTCTAGGAAGACTGAGAAGAGCTTCACACCTCTATTCTCCTCTCCTCTCCTCTCCTCTCCTCTCCTCTCCTCTCCTCTCCCTTCCTTTCTTTCTCTAGAGAGCCTGAAAAGAGCTTTATAACTTGCAACTATGGAACCTTCTCTGCCTTGAGCCCAATTCCTCTTTATACTTCCTTAGCTGTGGTCAAGTATGAGAGCCAAGAAGGGCTGCTCACTCTGTGTCTGTAGCCTTGGGGTTTCATGAAGGTCTATGATTTCTCCTTTGCTTGCAGGAATGAATAATTTCCCAGAAAGGCTGCTCGCTGCACCTGAACAGGCTCGGAGTCTAGGTGCTGCTACATTTCCTACCATAAGCCTCCTGAGCTCAGGTCATCTGCCATCAGGGAAAGGGAGCTGAGGACACTGTGGGGCAAATGCTGCTGTGGGGACAGCCCAGCACAAACTCATCCTTGTGGAGGTGTGAATCCCTACTCCAAGACACTCTTGGGCTGCTGAGGATTTATTACTTCTCATGTTTAGATGAAAGGAGTGGTGGCTGTGCATCCCAGCGGGTCTCTCCTTCCACTTGTCCACACTGCCTCTAACCACACAATACCCACTGAGAATGGTCAGCAGGGACTGGGAACTGGCTGGTTGAGGGAGGGGGCTCTGTTGTTTAGTAAATGTGGCCTGAGGCACAAAGGGGGTACTTACCAACAATGGTTTTATCCTTGAACTTGAATCTACAAATAATCTGGTCCTTCCTTCTTGCATTATGAAAACCTTGTCCAGTAATGAACACATCGTAAGAAGCTACAAGAACAACATTTAAATATCTGAGTGAGGAAGAGCCAAGGGCTGCATTCTCTCTGACTCACTGTTCATGGGGGTCCAATCCCCAAGGTGTGATTCCCACAAGGCCCTGATGAGGCAGCAGGTATGTCTGAATCAGCATCTATGGGTCCCTCTGGACACATTCTCATCTGGTGTGGCTGAGGTGGCTGAAGGGCCTTGCACACTTGGTGATCCTCCTCCCATTACCCTTAATCCAAAAATTTCATGACTACAACCCAAGCCAATGCATGCACAAGGTCCAACTCAGAGGAAGTCTTCACACCCTGAAATCTCCAGTGCTTCCTAAGCTGCAGGGCCCCAGGCTGTGCACTGAGCCGGCCCTCCCATATGGAAGGCAGAGAGGAGCTCTGATGCACAGGCTGAAGAAGCCCTGCCTTATTCCTGTGAGGCTCCTGAATGTGGGGACTCTCTCTCCTCCTCCTGCCTGTGGTAGTGGAGACCCTAGGAGCAGGGCAGGAACACAGGTGTGGCACAGGAGAGGCCCCTACCCTTCCCAGGAGGTTTCCTCCCAGGATGTGTCCATTCCCAACTGTGGGTCCTGAGGCCAGCACATCATCCCTCATCCCTGTCTCTTCCTGACACACCAAGGAGCACAGCCACCTGCCTGTGTGTAAGCAAGCGCTTCCTTCTACCAGTGTGTAGCCTCCTTCTCCTGAGGCCAATACAAGGGACAGAGAGGAGAGCAGGGTGTCCAGCTCCAAAGGAGTCAGGATTCCTGTAGTCCTCAAGCTCAAGTCCAGGCTCATTTACCTGTACAGTCACCTCCTGGCTCAGGTCTGACTCATTCCAGTATGGAATAGCACTTCAGTCCAGGTCAGTTGACCAAGGACTTTATTCCTCACCTGGCCTCCTTCATCAGACTCTCAAGGATAAAATGAGGACTGATCTGTTCTGTGTCATCTGGCTCCAAGGATCCTGCCTTGGGTTCCTATCTGAATGACTGTCACTCTGTATGTGGCACCTTTGCATAAGATGGCCAGTAAATGAACAGGTCACTGGCCGAGCTTGTGTTCGGACACATCTGCTAGAAGGAGTTCAACTGCTAGAAGGAGTGACATCTCACATTCCCACCTGGGGTTTGTCCTAACTGTTCAGATGCCAAGGCCTGTGTGTCCAGGGCACATAATGACATATAGGCACCAGCCACCTGGGCTGCTTTAAACCAGAAGCAGAAGAGGCCATATGGGGGAATGGGGGTCCTTGAGTCCACCCCCACCCCTTAGTACTTGCCCAGCACAAGCAAGGGCAGGGGGAATGTTGAACCAAGAACCAAAGTGGAAATATCAGGACCTGCCACTGTCCTTAGGACCCATCAGCTTCCAAGTGCTGATCCAGTCACCACCTCTGTGTCTCCCAACAGTCCTGACAGTGTTATTTCTATCCATTTTAGGCCACACTGAAGTCCCAGATATCTGGCACTTTGCTGCAGGCCTGGTGCCACAGGTAGCAGAGCACAGATGAACACATAGTTCTGCTACCAACAGCCTGTGGCCATGGAGCCTCCCTGTGGAGGGCAGGGAGGCCAGGACTGCCTGACTGGAGTCCATGTTGCACCTAAGCTCCACCAGAGGAAAAAGGAGGCTGAGGGTTCTGTTTCCATCAACCACAGTGTGAGGACACCAACATGTGGTACCAGGGCTACACAGAGGGTTTGTGACAAGGAGAGGTGGCCATCCCCAAGTCCATACAATTGTGTCCTCAGCACACTGAGGCAGGAATGCAGGGTGGTCAGAGGCATCCTGGTCAGGTCTAATCCTAGGGGACAGTGGACTGATGTGGATGACATGAGCCCTGGCGGTCAAGGTGGACACCTGTATTTGGTAGGGAGGTTTCCTTTGTTCCCAGCAGGACACTGGAAGTTGAGTTATGTCCAGATCTTTTTCTTCACCCATTGATATAATCACGCCCTTTTGGTGGATGTGCAAACTCCACATTTTTCAAATCCCCCATCAGCCTGGTCCTCCTGGAATGAGCCCTGATTTCTCTTGACCTACTGGCCTGTTAAATGTTGCTCACTCCATTTGCTAGTGTTTCCTTGAGAGTTTTTAAAAATATGTTTTTCTACTTTTGCAATTAAACATTTTGTGTTAGATAGATGATATTTGCACACATACCCACACTGTGCTTTCTAACACACATCCCTCCCCAGGAAGGAAAATTTCATATACACCATATCTATACACATGCACCCATGCACACCCCCAACATCCACTCACCCACAAACACTCTACCACACATAAACACAAAACATACATCTCGGCACACATATATACATGCGTATACTGTATACCCCATGCACACTTACCCCTCCATATACCATATAAAAACACTCCACCTTCAGGCACTAAATCATACACCACATACACACACACACAAAATCCATACATATGCAACATACAATACTCCTTACATATTACAAACCATTCCCTAAACACTACATATATCACACATATCCTGCAAACACATTCCACACACCCACAACACAAGTATATTCCCCACAAAATACCATTCTTCTCACATACAACATACTCTGATACACATACCATACAACACTGTGTACACATGCATATTCTCCATGACCTATATAGGCAGAAACCATAAACATACACAAACACCAAACTCCCTGTTGTAACATAACTCATGCCACCCACAATCTATAAACTTACATGACACACACCACATATATATTGCATACACACCCCACAAAGTTATACCAAAACACATAATTTATACACACAGTTCACACCCACATATGTGCACACAACATATACACCACAATAAAGAACTCCACACAAACACCATACACTACAAAACACTACACACAAATCATGCACATAGATACCTACACACCAATACAATGTACAAATGAAAAACACAGCATATACTACTCTTAGATACTGTAAACACCACAAAGATATTCTACAAATTCTGAGATGCACCAAACATCACATAAACACCACACAGTACATATACACTCATATCTTCCTACACACTACAAAACACCAAATATTCACCACACATATACCATACACATCAGACACCATTATCACCATATACACAATGCATACCATGCCCTCTCACCTCCTGCACAACACACTCACAACACACACACATGTACAACACCTGCACATGGCACACAGTTCCCCCACATACCACAGCATTTGCACTACAAATATGTACACCACACACACTACTGGCCAGCTACGTGTACATATCTCACAAATCCTCCCACAGTCAAAAATACTACACCTCACACACCTTCCTACTCCTACTCAGTCACACATATATTCACTGATTGTGAACATGTCACAAATTCAAAACTCACACATATCATACACACACACCCTGATACACACACATTCCCATATACACATCTCACACACCATATACACAAAACATACACCATGGAAGAACCACACATATCAAGCAAATCACTCACACAATCACCCCATTCATGCATACTCATGCAATGTGCACACTCATCAATTAAACAATCTGTCTTACCTCCTGCACATCGATCAGAAGCCTCTACAGATGTGACTTCAATGCAGGTCTTGGAAGAAAGCTGGAAGAGAGAGGGGAGGAAGGGGGCTAGGAATGTGATCCTCAGGCTCCAGAGAGATACAGATCACTTCTGCTCACATTCAGTCAGACTCACTGGTTCAACAACGGTTTTCAGATTTGCAAATCCTGTGTCCACCCCAAACATGTGCTTTGGGGAGTCTGCAACTGCTATCATCTGCAAAAGAAAAGAGGTGACTTGAGCCCCTCAGCTATCCCAGGGTCTTGAGAAAGCAGGTCCCCGACCCAGGGCAGAGTGTCATGCCCTCTTGCAGTGGGGCTAGTGGAGTGTCAGGAGCTGGGGTCAGACGTTGGCTTCTGCCCACAGCCCAGGCTTAGGGAGCAGGAAGCTCCCCCCACCCACCCAGCACAGGTGATGCTGGTGACTCCTCTGGTTGTCCTTTCACCGCAGCCACCTGTTTTCAAGTTCCCTGAGGCAGGTGAGAAGAGCAGCTTCTTCCAGGCCCTGGGAAGCCACCCATGAGAGCTTCCCCAACTAGGCTGCAGAGGGACACCTGGGCACCTGCTCTGAAGTACCTGATTTTTCTGGTAATCCAGCACACCCACAGTGTAAACGGTTGCCCCCATACTCCGAGACTTGTTAGCCTAAGAAAAAGGTGTCAAGAGTAAATCATCAGACTATGCGGGGCACGGTGCCGGGAACCATGGATTGAACTCACCAGTTCCTTGGTCTCCTCAAATACGTTTGGTAACAGTCTTCCATCAGTCATAGCAATAATCATGGGGGTAGCTTTACTGCCTACAGAATAAGCAAGAAGAGTGTAGCTTGGTTGGCAAGTGTCTATCCATGTCTATGCTGCCACAGGCCTTCAGGGCCCTGCACTGACCATAGCTGACAGGTCAGGTGCTCCCCCACCTTAGCATCTTGGGTAAGGTGACTTGAATTCTCATTAACCCCCAGGCTGTGCACACTTTCCCCTGAGGAAGCCCAGCCATTCCTCCATAAGCTTTAGCCTATTAGCTGGGTGAGGGGAGCAACAGTCAGACACTCCCTCCTGCAGAGGCCCGTGAGGCTGATGAAGGCCAGGCACCTGATTCAGGCACAATCTGTGGGAACTCTTGGGCCATCTGTAGGTCTGGTAGTTTAGGACTATTGTTCACTGGGCTTAGGGGAGGGGATCCCACATGCTCTCAGTGCTGTTGTGCACCAGGCCCCACATATTCCTGACAGGAGCTGCAAGCCTACAGTCCAGAGGGACATCCTTTCTGGGGGTGCAAAGCTGTTTGCGTTGTCTGAGATACAGGTCCAAGAGGCCCTTCAGAGAAGGAAGACACAGATGAGAGAAGGAAAAGGAAGGCTGGCCCAGCAGGGAAAACAATCTGTGGATCGGAGCTTTACAAAGAGGTCTGTTTCTTCAAAGTCCCTGCAGTTTTTCTTCTTTCTGTTCACTAGGATCAAGTGTAGGTTAAAGACCTCAGAGTGACCAAGATCCACGCATGGATACCTGGGGCCTCAAATATAGGTACGTCTCAGAACCATCTAGTACAAGGCTCACTGCACAGGCTGGTCTTGCAGTTCTGGCTCCAGTAACTGACTCCAAGAGTAGGAGCTTGGAAGAGGCCCAGGAGATCTGCACATATGTCTCCCAGGGGCACCAGCTCTATGCCCCACCTACCACAAAGAAGGAAGCAGGCAGCTTACCTTCAGCAATGACTTTTTCCATCTGTTGATTTACCTGCACAGGAATAAAAAAAACATTGGACAATAATAGTGAGATGCCTTAGTGATACTCTTAAGAACTGGGAGCCAGCATCCTCAACTCCAGGTCCCAGCCCTTTGTACCAATTTAAATCCTTCGTGCATGTTTGTTTGTCCTGTAGGCACCACTCTCTCAAGTCTCTTAAGATTCTCTTCAATTTCTTTTCTGAAAAAAAAAGTTGAAAATAAAGATTAAGGTGAGGAAGACTGACAATTTTAAACAAACTTATGAACGGTCCCACAGCTTTGTCTACCGTGGAATTGCCTGGACACGAGAGGACACAAGGCAAGCATCATGGTGACCCCCGTTTGGCACTGTGTCTTGGACAGGAAGTTTCACAGCCTTCTCTGACCCTAATGTCATGAGCACTGTGGCAGGTCAGGTGAGGCATGATGGTTGCTGAGAACCTAGGCCATTTTCTGAGCTCATGTGAGGGTATTCAGGCCTCAGGGAGCTCACCATGGGCTTGCCTGGTCCGATTTTTGTTATAGGAGGAAGCCCACAGGGATGTGCTTGTGTGTGAGAGACACCATGGGGGCTCATCATTCCTGCCTCTATCTCTAAATCTTGGAACACTGTCCTCCTGAATACTCTGTCTTTCCATAGGGAAGGCTGGGTTGAGGAAAGGTCATGTGGCTAAGCTCTGCCAGCTACTATCCCCCACTGCCACAGACCTCTGGCCAGTCTACTCAATTAGAGAGCTGGGCTCCAAGACCTACTAAAACAAAAGACCCAAAGCTGGGGTAGCAGCCCTCAAGGTTGTCCATGAGGGTGCCCAGCCTAGCTCCATGAACTGGCTGGGGGATTTGGCCTATCAGGTGCTGTTAACACAGACAAGATTAGGACAGGCAGGGAGGGCTCTGTTGGCAGTAAGGATACAGGAAGGGGCATCCTGAGGCCTGGGTTAAATAAACATGACAGACTGAGTCAGCAAAATGAGAGAATAGACCCTGGGGGTGGCTTTCCACCACAGGCAGAGAAGTTCCACGTGTGAAAACTGAGGGCCCTAAGCTTGGCCCTGCCAAGGGAGATGAGGAGGCCATACCCAGCCCTGCCCAGGGAATGCCAAACCAGGGTCCACCCAGTCCAGCCCAGTACCTCCTGTCCCTCAGGGACCCCTGTCAGCATCCTTACCACATCCTTCCTCTCTACCACCTCACACCCACTCAGGTCTCTCCCAAACCTATACCAACCCAGGTCCTTCCCTGTGTCCACGGACCCAGCCCCTCCCTGTCTTCCTTGACACTGTTCTGTTATGGGCCAGAATATATGTGTCTTGACCAAACAAACTCCATTGGACCCTGACACTCCATTTCATATAAGAAATGCTTCTCCCTTGAGAAAACTCTGCCTCTGTCAACTTGATCCTGCTTAACACAGCCTGCTTAGAAATGCACGGCCTTGGAAAATGTTTCTGATCCTATACAATGTAAAATTTTTCTCTTTTTTGTTCCCATTTTTTTCTTTGGAAATGTACCCTGACTGTACTGGATTATTCAGACCCATTCCCTATGTTGCTATGGTTTGGAACATAGTGTTTTGGGTGTTTTTGCTACAAGAGTGCACTCACCCTACCTTTTGCAAGGGGTGGAAGGTTGTAGAGGCGACTCGCCTGCTGCCCTTCTGACCCACCAGTGAAAATAGTTTCTATGTCTGGCTTCAAGACTGACCCTGTGATTTATTTAAAACGTGCCACAACAATGCGTGGGGGCCAACTTGTCCACATGCCCTTGACCTCCTTCCCCTTGCCTAGGGCTGGCTTGTCCCTCCTCGTTCCCTGCTTCTGGCTCTTTTGTGGGGGACACTGGACAAAAGATGCCCCACAACTCCAAACATGCAGACGTCTTCAGTGTCTCCACCCCTCTTCTGTGCCGGTCCTACCCTGTGCAGAGCCCTGGACATTGCATCCTAAGCTCTCCCTCCCTCCCAGTCAGTCAGAAGCTCCACAACTTCCCACCTCTGGGCCCCTTGGCACAGATGCCCCACCCTCCACACCCTGGGTGCTTGCTCCTCATGCCTCCCTGCAGCACCCATCCCTGCCTTGGACTCAGGGCCCCTCCTGGCCTAGACCCTCTACAAAGCACTTCCCCTGGTTCCCAGGCTGTCTCCCTGCCTCACTGGCCTGGGCAGGCATTTACCTGCCATGGAAGGTCCCAGGACAGAGTTCAGGTGGGACCTACCTATCTTCCCCATGAGCTTTTAGAATAGGGATGGGGAAGGTTGACACAGCCAGCCTCCAGGGAAGAATTCAGGGCTGATAAAGGGCAGGGTAGACGAACTTCTGAAAGCACAGAATCTGCAGGTGTCAATGAAGCAGTCGACAGAGGGGCACTGGAAAGCCAGGGCTGGAGGCCAATGTGGGTATTTAAGGTTGTCAGGACCAGCCCACCTTGCTCTCCGTGAGCCTCTCAGATCCTTGGAGCTCCATGTGGCCAGGCTCATCAGGCCTGCCTTGGGCTTCACAGCAGCACCTACCTGTCTCCAGTGAGCGGCATGAAAATTTCTGCACCCTTTGAGTAGAGAACGAAGGACATCCGCATATTTGGGCTGAGGAGGAAGCACAGTTCATGAGGAAGCCAATGCACTGGTTCTACCAGATATCAGTGAGCAGCCAGGGAGGAGGTGCATATTTCCCTGATCCCCACCCCGTCTCTTCTGCACTGGGGTCACTTCAGATTGGGGAGGGGGCGTCAGAAGTATTTGGTGAAGGATTCTGAAGACTATGGAGACGAAGTGTCCAAGGAAAAAGAGGGTGCTGAAGGTTTCCTGCTTCAGCTCTGTATTCTCAACACCCCAACTCTCTTTCACTTGCACATACATGCATGTGCATGCACACACGCACAAACACACAAGCACACATCCCACAACCATGCACCCACTGAACATGAAAAGAGACAGACATATCTACACTCCTCCATGAGGGCCTCCCACCCACCTGGACTTTCTTCTACTGTCACCTTGCTTGTATCTTGGTCCCCACTTCACTCCCTGGCTCAAAGAGTTCATCTTCTTTTTGGCAGCCATTTGCACACCTGCCTCCCCTTTCTCTCTCTCTCTCTCTCTCTCTCTCTCTCTCTTTTCAGTGCCCTATAACCCAAGACCCTCAGACCTTATAATAAGATTGCTACATGCCTCTCTGACTGAACTCCCCAGTGGTCTTGTTTTTTCTTGACTCAGTTCACCCATAGTTATTGAATTTTTTTCCCAATCTTGATCTTGTCTCCCCAAATCCATGAATCTTCAATGATTTCTTTATGGCTCACAGGGTACATTCTAAGTCCCTTGACCTGGCGTGATGAATCCCTATAGCTTGGCCCCAGACTGGTCAGTGCTGTCTCATCTCTGAGCCTGGCTCTGAGTTTCCTTCACTCCCTAGCCTCTCCAGAACCTCTTCATTAGAGGTCACCTTGATGGTTGCTGTGACCCTGTCCCTTTCTCTATCCTTCAAGATCAAGTTCAAATATCCACCTTTTTTGAGGGGAAACTATCTTTGATTTCTGGTATTCCTGCTTTGTCCTTTAACCTTCCAAGGAAGTCAAGTTCTCTGCCAGTTACTGAGTTACTGTACTTTCTTTTAAAATAATATTTTAGTTGTAGATGGGCACAATATCTTTATTTTTAAAATTTATATGTAGTGCTGAAGATGAAACCCAGTGTCTCACACCTGCTAGGCAAACACTCTACCACTGTGCTACAACCCCAGCCCTTTTCTGTCTTGACTTATTTCCAGCCTATGAGGTCCTGGAGGGAAGACTGTGTCTCTGCACTATACCCTGTCTCCTAGGAAGGGGCCAGCCAGAGTTGCTGAGACCCCACAGGTCCAGTGTGGTTTGTTCCTTTCTTGCCCTGCACCCTAGGCTCTGTGCTCCCTACATGAGGTGCTCCCACGCTCACCAAATCTAACGGTCATGCCCTTTGCCTGCCAGGGACTATTCCCCGCAGCACAGAGGAGCCAGCAGTGTGGAGAAGCCGTACTTTTTGAATTTGTTCACCAAATCCTTCACCAACTCATAAACGTAAATCCAATTGTTGTTCACACTGGCAGACCTGAAAAAAAAAAAGGAAACAAGAGTTGGGGATATGGCATATCCAATGGGTGTGCAGTTTCTGCCTTGCCCGCTGTCCAGCAGGCTCCTTAACAAGAGCATCCCAGCACCAAGAACCACAGTGCATCATCCTGAGGGGTGACATTAATCAGGGCCAGGAGTAGCAGAGGGTGGTCAAGCAGACCCTTCGGCCTGGGACTGTAGGGCATCCCAAGGTGAGGGAACTTTGGTAATTTACCAGTGTGGCTGGTCATGCTAGGTGGGATCTGTGGATGGAAAAGTCCATTATCTTTTCTGATTTGCAGGTTCCCTTTGCCCACCCAACTCCCTGCCATTTGCCCTTATTTTAACCGTTTCCTGCTCTCTCTATGGGTGAGTAGAGAAGGGCTTTTGGCATCACTGTGATCAGAGGCACTTGGATAGTCAAATCCCAGAAGGGGACAAGTCCTGGCCTGCAATTCTCCTTCCCCCCAGACTGGAGATTTTTTTTACTCAGGCCTATCTGACCTGCAACTCCATGACACTGCCAGATTCCACTCACTGACTCAAATTTCCTAGAGCTCACTGTGAGCAGCAGGTGGAGTCATTTTCAATAGGAATCTAAACTTCATCTTGCGTAGATGGGAACCTGAGCTTATTTTATACCCAGGGTTTCCCATCAGCCTGCACAGCTCATCCACTCTTAGTGCTAAGGCCTTTTCTAGTAGGCACTGCCAGAGGAGCAGCATGTCCAGCTGTCATCATTTCCAACTAGGAGAGAGAGGCACAGGACCTTCCATCTTGGCTCTCAGGTCTCTGCTCCCTTTTTCTCACATTTAGTCCCTGGATCTCTGGGGAAGAGGTAAAGGGAATTGGAACCTCCTGATATTCCACATTGTGGGGATCACTCCCATCTGTGCTACTTCCCAGGGTCAAAGGTGTTTGCAATTCCACATCTCCATCAGCCTCCATTGCACCAAGGAACAGTAACTAGATTCTAAGCATGAAAGAGAAATGTCAAGCTTAACTGCTATGCTTTCTGTCCAAGTTTTGAGAGATGGTCCATGGTAAAACTGAAGTTAATGTACTTGCTCAGACATTTTTCCTGGATCCATGGTGTTTCATGTGATTCATGTGTTATGAGAGTCAGAACCCTTACTAGGAGCCACCATTTCTTCTCTCCATTTATCACTGTGTCCTTAAATGTGAGTTTCTGGAAGGTCATGCTTATATGTGCTGAGTCACATACTAATAGCAACTGCCTTCTCTCTATACCATCCTATTACCTCCTCTAGGCTACATATAAAACTACATGTAGCTGACGGCAAAGTAAGATCTAGATAACCCTAACAATATCAGGTTCAACTTTCACTGAGAATGTGTAGGCTAGGAACCTGCTATGCGTGCATTCCTTATGATACCAACTTATTCCCATTTCACAATTGAGAAAACTGAGGCACTGAATGGTCAAGAAATTCTTTTTTTTTATTGTTGGTTGTTCAAAACATTACATAGTTCTTGACATATCATATTTCACACTTTGATTCAAGTGGGTTATGAACTCCCATTTTTACCCCATATACAGATTGCAGAATCACAATATTTATACTTAGCATGTTTCGGAACCAAGATATTTCTTCAAATCCCACACACCGCTTGTTTCACTGACATACCTGAATGATGCTGTGGTATCTATCATTAGCTGGCTAACTAAGCTCTAGACAGCCAGCCCATCCATAACACCAACTTTGCCCTCTGCAGCTCCCAGGCTAATGTGCAAGACAGCTTTTTTTCCTAACTAAAGGAAACATTGTCTGCTTTCTTTCTTACTCTTCTTACTCTTCTCCTGTTTTTCCCCTGTAGAAAGGAGTGTCCTCCACTGAAGACTCATTGGGAGTCAGAGTCTTCAACACACTCACATGTTCTGTAAGAGTTTCAGTTTGAGATGATTGTCAAAGAGGGTGTGTATTCTGAACATGGAAGGAAGGGAGTGTTCAGGGAAAAAGTAAAGGAATACAGAGACCAAGATTTCCTTCCCTAGAAAGGAGACAACAAGGAACAGTGAAAACAGTGAAGTACCAGCACACAGGGCTTCAATCATGCTAGTGCCCACAAGAGACAAGATCACTACACTCTTGAGGACACTTTTAATATCAGTTTGAGACCAAAACATCACAGTTATATCACTGATTGAATCATCATGTAGAAGGGATGGAAGAAGATGTTACAGAAACCCGCATAGAAGCTGGTTATGAGGAAGCCAATGCTTTATCCCTATAGTAAGAAAAGAGAAACAAAAAGCAAGAAACACTCGCCAGAACAAGCTTATTCTTAGAATGAAAGATAATATCACAAATGAAAGCTAACAAGTCTGCAAGTGGTTGCCTTAGGGAGTGGGATCTGCAGTCTCGCAGATTTGGGCAGGAGTACTTATTTATTAATTTTTTTTATCGTTGTGAGCCTCATTTGAGTGCTTGACATTTCAATGCATCTTCAAGTATTTCTGTGATTAAAAAAAGGAATTATAATTAAAAACCAGTAGCATGAGTTTTTTTCAGAGAAATGGTGTCTTTAAATCTCAATGCCCTTTTTCTAATGAAGCTTTCCAACTCACACACACAAACAACAACAAAAACAAACAAACAAACAAAAAATCCAACTGCTTCTGGGCCAACTTTGCAAAGTCTCTGGAAAAAATTTCTCAGCAATAATGTATGTGTCTGTCTGAGAAAACACCATCTTCAAAATATGAGAAATTTTTTTTGTGTGAATGTGCTGTTTTGCTAACCCTTCAACTACTCCATTTCCAGTATATAGACAGTTTTGATTTTGAGCAGTAGACCCATTTAAAAAATATTGTCCTTCAATTAAAAGGAGCAGTTGCAAATTATTGAATACATCTGTTTTCACCTGTCTTGGGGATACTTCATGGGTGGACTCCCTCTCAACTTTTCCTTGCATAACTTGGAACATAGGTAGGAAAGGAGGTGGACACTTTACTTAATGGCTACAACTAAGCCACAGGAGTCAACAAATCATAGATGCCCTGGGCCAAAGGTTTTGGGTGGAGATGTACAATAGATTATTGAAGAACCAGAAGAGAAGCTCTAGACCTGAACTCCAGGAAATGATAAAATGTCTTTCAACAAAAATGGAAGACACCAGACAATAACTCAAAGCCATATGAACATAGAAATATTTCTGGCAAATATAAATACAAGAGCAAATATATGTTCCATTATTGTTGTAATCTTGTTTTCTAACTTATTTTTCTTTTCTGCAGCATCTATAAGACAAATGTACAAAATCATATACTTTTTGAGACGACAACATATAAAGATATATTTTATGACATTGTAACAAAAGGGTGCATCATAGAGCTTTTGTATGTAATCAAATTTAAATGGCAGTGATTCAAATTGGGTTGCTATAACATTAGAAGGCTACATGCAATCCACACATAATCATAAAGAAAATGCCCCAAAATAGAATATACACAAAAGTAAATGAGAAAATAAACAAAACGTGTCATTTCCTACAAATCGACTAAGCCCAAAAAAAGAGAGACATGGAGAAAAGGAAAAACAGAAAACATACAGGAAACAAACATAATGCAAAATCCCTTCTCTATCAGCAATTACTTCAAATATAATCAGATTAAAATCTTTAATCCAAAGAAATAGATGGTTAGAATGGAATTTAAAATAAAGAAAGCAAACAAAACTCATGATCTAACTGTAGTGTTTACAAGAGACTCACAATAGACCTAAAGGCATACATAGTTTAAAGTGAAAGGGTGGAAACATATTTCATGCAACGTAAGGCAAAAGAGAGCTGGGGGTGATTCCACTAATTAGAATTTAAGTACAAACTGACAGAAGAGACAAAAAATATTTTATACTTAATAAAAATGTCAATTCTCAAAAAAGATGAAACAATAATAAATAGACTTGCATCAAAAATCAGAACTCCAAAATTTATGAAGCAAAACCAACAAAGTTAAATGGAAAAAGAGTTCTAAATTATAGTTGGAGACTTTAAAATGTCATTTTCAATCATAAATAGAACTATATAAGATATAAGGAAATAGAGAAATGAGAAAATAGAATATTCTAATATAATTATTTTAAAAAAACTATACCCATACTGGGGCATGATATTGTTCAAATTATGTTATGTGCATGCATGAATATGGCATGATAAATCTCACTATTATGTGTAATTATAATGCACCAATAAGAAGGAAAAACACTGTGTGAAGTAGTATGTACAGAACACTCTACCTGACAACTGAATACACATTTTTTTTTTCAAATTCATATGGAAGATTCTTTTTAGTAGATTATGTGTTAGGCAATAAAACAAATCTTTAAACAAATGTAAAAGTTTGAAATCATTCCAAGTATCTTCTGTTATCACAATGAAAGAAAGCTTGAAGTCATCCAGAATGAAAACTCAAAAATTCAAAAGTAGGTGGGAATTAAACAACAAACTTTGTCAAGGAGAAAATTATCAAAGAAGAAATCACAAGAAAAGGTTGAAAATACCTGAGACAAATAAAAATGAAATGGTGACATAGAAAAACATGGAATAAAGCTAAAGCAGTGCTAAGAGACAATTTATAGCTAGAAAAATATATTAAAAAGAAGAAAGACCTATCAGTAAATCAACTTTTTCTCTTGTGGGAAGAAAAAGCTAAATTTAAAGCTGGCAGAAGAAAGGAAATAGAGAACATTATAGAAGAGATAAAATAGAAAATAGAAATGTAGAGGAAATTTGATTAAACCAAAACTTTATTCTTTGAAAGCAACATAAAATTGGCAAACCTTCATCTTTATTGACCTAAAATAAAAGAGAGACAATACAATGATTAAAATCTGTGTCAGCTTTACTGTCAATTCTGTAGAAATTAAGGGCATGCCATGGACAGACATCTTTTGGCTAATAAATTGGATGCCTAGATGAAATAGATTTTTTTCCTAGCAAGACTCAACCTACGTAAAGAAATGATGAAATTAAATAGAAAATATGTTTAGAAATTTAACTTTTAAAAGATTAAAATCTGTAAAAAATAAAATAAATCTACCAACTAAACCACCAATGAATTCTACCACTGGTGAATTCAAGCAGACTTTCAAGGAAGAAATCTCATCAATTTTTCTAAAAATCTTCCAAAAATTGAAGACAAGGAGAAACTCTGAAACTCATACAATGAGGCAGCATTACCCTACCACCAAAGCCAGAAAAAGATACTCTAGGAATGTGCAGACCGATGTTCCCTCTGAATATAGATACAAAACTTCAACAAAACACAGGGAAACAGAGGTGGAAGGGCTCCTCTGGGACTCCTCCTAAGGGCAAATTCCAACAGGATCTTGCTGAGGCCAGTAGGATTGACAATGGGCAAGCCTGACATTAGGAACTGAGGGGGATCCAGCAGACCAGCCTCAATTCTGCACCCTGACCTGGGGCTCAGGGGACTCAAGCTGCTCCCTTTCTTTCCTGGCCTCCCAGTCTTCAGCTCATTTTCCAGCCCCAGCCAAGTCTGGCCAGATTAACTGCCCTGTCTCCCATCATTGAAGATGCCATGTGGGGATCCATGTGAAGTGAGGAGGAGGGTTGCAGGTTATGGTTATCTGGTTCTTTCCAGATCTCTTAGTTGACATCATTTCCAGATCTCTTAGTTAGCAACATTTTTGACTCAGAAATTATTTCTCTGGCCTTCTCTAGGCCCCTTACCCCATTCATGCCTTTGCAGAAGGGAAAGGGGAGAATCTTTCACTTTCTGATAATTTGCACCAAACAAGCTATGATTGACCTTGAGCAAATCATCAGCTCACTTCCAATCTTCATTTAACCCTCCTAAAATGCAGTGATAACCTAACTCCTCAAGATGTTAGGAGGCTGATTTAGTTAGCTGTTTTTGCTGCCGTGAACAAAAGATTCAAACAAGAAAATTTTTTAGTTGAAGAAAAAATGATTTAGGGGTTTACAGTTTTTTCAGGTCACAGCAGCAAAAAAATATGAGGAACTAAATTTGGGACAATGAAGAGAGAATAGCCCAGGAAGCCCAGGTTTTGTTGAGGAGGCATAAAATACACCAGGATAAGGTAGAAAGGAGAGTAACAGGGAAGGGAAAAGAAACAGTAAATTCAAATCTAAGAAGCTCCATAAAACTCCTCAAATTTACCCCCCCCCCGCCCAATTCTGTTTTCCTCAATTTTTATGAAGTCCTTCAATATTTTAGCATTATGAGTCCAGATGATTAATTCCTACCTACATTACTAGTTTATACAATTTATACAACACATTTTCTTTAGAATAAATAAAGACAAGGATAATATTGCCCCAGAAAAAAATGGTATTCCTTATATTATTAACTGGAGATCTGGAAAGAATCAGATAACCATAACCTGCACCCTGCTCCTTAAAGAGAATTGAGCTCTTGGGCTGATATCACTCATCCCCTACACACTTCTTATGTTCAATATTTACAAAATTTCTTATAAAAGAAGACCCCAAGTACCCCCAAAAGGCATTTCATTCTCAAATGTCCACATTCTTTCTTGGAATGGGCAGCCTGCTCCTTTGCTTGCTTTACTAAATAATTCTTTTTGCTTTTTAAAATAAATCTTTGTGGCTATTTTGAAACATGCTGATTTTTTTCCTGTGGCATAAGTCAAGAATTTTCCAGAGCTACTAAGTTGAGGTTCCTCTTTTCCCTTATGGGGACCTCCTTGATCCTCTTTCTGGTGATATTGTCAGTACTAGCAGCCTCTGGGCACCTTCCCAATCCAGGTGCCAAACCCAGAATAGGACATATGTCAAAAAAAAATAGCTTTGCTCTTCTACAGCTCAAGATGTTTGGCGGATGTCTAACATGCTAGGGAGTAAAAGGATTTGGAGGCCAGCACGTGCTTCCACCACCTTCTGGGGTTTCCTTACCTCTGTCAAAGTACAGTGTTCATTTCCAGACCAGCAGGAGGAGCTGAGAATGGAACCCAGAACAGAAACACCTACACTCCCTTTCCTTCCTTAACAGCCAGCCTAAGGCAAGGTCCAGCTTCCCCAGGGTCACACTGAGGCAGAGTCCCCTGCTCCTGTCAGTGCAGGAACTGTGCCTTGGCTGTCCATGGGGGGAAGGAAGAAGCAAAACATGAGAAGTAGCAAAGTGCAGGACATTCTGAGCAGTGGCACTGGGAGAGAGCCCAGCAGAGGCCACAGAGCACTCTCTCCAGAATAGCAAGCAGTGAGCCTTCCACACACGCCTGAGGGTGAATCCTAACCATAAGCCGACTGAGAGGCAGGTAGGAGCAAGATCTGGGCCAGGGAGATCTGCTGGAGGGGCAGAGCCATCCAGGACCCCTGTGATGGTGTCCCTCCTTGTAGGCAGTAAGTAAGCTGCTGAGGACCATGCCTGAGGTCTGTCCACAGACAACCCTTCTTGTCCTCTTCCAGGATCTGTAATGTTCTGACCATATGACTAAGGCTAAAAGCTAAGCCCCATGGGCTATCTGGGGACAGGGCAGAAGGGTGACTCACTTGTCCAAGATAAAGTAGAGGTCGAAGATCCCCTGGCAACTGCTTTCCTTTCCCGCTTGCCTTGGGAACCATCGTTGCCTTGCACCTGGATCACGGCGGTTGTAGAAGCTTCTTGAGCCCTTGCCCAGGTGGTGGAATATTCTCCAGCCAGGGCCATGGTTCTGTAGGCTCCCTGATCTCAAAAGGGATGGAGGTAGCAGCAGTAGCAGAAATAGTGTAGCGCAAGGCACTTGAGGACAGTGGATAACCATTTTCTTGATGTCCCTGTGATCCTTCTAGCTTTTAGAGAGCTGTACAGGGTCACAGGTAGGCTGAGCACAGACCACCTCTGGCTTCTTCTTCTGCCACCTCCACCTGTACTCAGGGGCCACAGCCTTTTGGCGCCCTATCACCAACAATCATTGTAGCACTCTACCAGGAACCTGTTTGGGCATAGGGACTGGAGAAGCAGCAGCTCTGAGTATTCTGCCACCAGCTGCCTGCACGGCCCTTCCCCCACCCTGGGACAGAATTCCCTGTAGTTATGATTGACAGGAAGGTTGACATGGTGACTTTGTGACCTGAACTCTGCTCAAGGCCCTTCATGTAGATAATACTAAGTGGCAGTCACTGGATCCTTGAACAGCATGTAAGATGAGACCTCTTTGTCCTTCATCCCAGGTTCTCACAACTGGTCCTTAAGCCACCTAAAGAAACTTGGAAATTTAATTAACCAGGAAGGATAGCTAAAGATGTCACTGTGAGTGAGGAGTCAGGGATTGGGAGGCTAGTGTGGGCAAAGGAAGTGGAGGGGACATTCGTGTGAACTCTGAAATCAGCCGTGGGATGTCAGGATCTAGATGGGGATTAAGACTGTGTGCAGTTGCCTAAATTCTCTGAGAATAGGAACCATTCCCATTATGCCTGGTACCAAGCACCCAAGCTTTATGACATAAAACAAGAGCCATTTTATTGTGCTCACAGGTTATGTGCAGAGAGGCAAGGATGGCAATGTGGGGGGTCACTATGAGGTACATTGTGGGGAGACTTGAGCAACAGGGAAAGACGTGGGTGACTGGTGACTGAAAGTAACTGGTGGCTTCCACACTCTTTTCCCCACGTATGACACCTGGGCAGGATGGTTCCTTCTACTGATCATGGAGAACCTGCATGTGGCTTTTCCTCAGGACTCAACTTTCCTCTTGGCATGAGCTCCCAGGGTGAGTCCACCGTTTTCATGGTGGCTCAGAGGTCTGAACTCAGAGCTCAGAGAGTATTTGCAGGGAGCAAGGTAGAAACTGTAGCGCCCTCTATGACATCACCTCAGAAGTCACATACTGCCACTTCCACTGTACTCTGGTCAGAGCAGTCACTGACCTGTCAAGGTTCAGATGGAGCCCCACAGACCCCTGCTTTCACAGGAGGCGTGTGGGTGGAAGGACACACCCAGTGCTTTGACCCCAAGGCATCGCAGCACTTGGACTCTGGAGTGAGGCACAGTGTGGGAAACAGGGGTGCAGTTATGGCATTGAAAAGGAATTCTGAAACCGCAGATCGTGAAGGGAAACAATCTTAGAAATACCTTGATCAATTTTATTTTCTTTGAGTTTGTATTCATAAAGGTTTTGTATGCTTAAAAACCCTTCCTTAATAGCTGTAAAAGAGACCTCAATGTGTATAACATAAAATTAACAAGTGATAAAAGCATTGAGTTCTGAGACTTTTTGTTTATTCCTCTTGTGTTAACTTTAAAAGAACAAACTATCTTGAATAAATAATATTTTAGAGTTGATGGAATCTGGTATACTCCCCCAACAGCATCTCAGGGTCCCCTTGCTTTCCACATGTAATGAGCTTCGATACTGTCATGGTTTCATAGATTGTGAATTGATTAGACATCTCACTGTGGACTGAAGTTGCCTTTCCTACTTCCTGATGGTCTACTGCATGACACTGGGTCATTCATGTTTCCCCCTTTATTGCAAAGCCTATCCACATATTCATGTCCCTTCTCTGACTGGGATGTTTATCCTTTTCATATTGGTCATTAACATATGCATTTTTGTTACTAATTATTCTTTATCAATTGTTGCAAATATTTTCTGCCAGTGTGTGGCATATTTTTTTCACTTTATAATTTTGAAATAAAAAAATACTTTTAATACAGAAGGCCTTTGTTGGGGAGAATGTCCCCCAAAGATTCAAGTGGTAAAAGATTGGCCTCTAAGACAGCACTATTGGGAGGTGGTGAAACCTTCAGGAGGTTGGGTCTAGTAGGAGTCACTAGGTCACTGTGGACAGGCCTTTGAAGGGGATTGTGGGACCTCCATCTCTTCCTTACTTTTGCTGGCTTATGGTGTAAGCCAATGCATCAGATACTACCCTTAACAGATACCATTCATATCTTTGGGCCACCTGATCACAGATTGGAATTTCCAGAACAGTGAGCATTTTCTCCCTGTAGGGTATTTTGTTACAATATTGAGAAGGTAATAGCCAATAAAAAAATTGCAGTAAATTGTTATTTTCCACACTGACATCATCCCACCTACCTAAGGCATTTATGCTATGGACACCTTCAGATTATCCTAGGTCATGGAACTTGCCCCAATCTGGCAAAGTGTTGCCATGCTACATCTGTGGGGTAGAAATGGGACTGGAAAGAGTCTGAGAAGTAGCAGGATCACTTCAGTGAAAACCTGTACCCAGCTCCCCAGGCTACTCCTTTAAGTCTGTGTAGGAGGATAGAGAACTTCTGTTGCCCTTGGGAGGCATGTAGGGGTCAGCCTGCACCACAAAGTGGTTGCCAACGGTGCTCAGGGGCGCCATAGTACTTTGAGCCTAGGGTAAAAGTGCACTGGTCAGAAGAAAAGATGTAAGGGTGGTCTTCAGGTTCCATAGCTGTGAACTGAATTCACATGCACCTAAGTGTGCCGCTGACATCTGGTTCTGACAATGATTCCAGGCTGCTGGGAGTGGCCAAGAGGGGTCACAAGAATTGTGTCTTGGGGCAAGCTGGATCAGCAGTCAGGAAGCACTGCACCACATTGATAGGGAACTTTGGGTTCCCAGATCCTGGAGTCTCTCTGCCTGGCTCTGCTCACCAGTCAGTCCTGCTGCGAAGACTGCAGACCAGTGGGCTGCTCAGAAACACCACCCTGGAGGTGGGAAGAGCCAGGAAGGAGGGACCTGGTCAACCTGAGGGAATGCTCCTGGGCCAAGTGCAAATTGTGTGCTCAGAGTCTCCTTTCTGTCCTTGAAGATGTTGACTGAGCAGCCAAGAAAGATGTGTCTTTGGGTGCTGCCTGTCAGAGCCAATAGAAGGGTGTGGACAGAGGAATACATCTCACTTTTTCCCCCTTCTCTTTCTTTTTCTCCTGTCACTTATTTTCAGCACAAATCTTTTTTTTTTCTCCCTCCTAAGTTGCCTTTCTGGGCTACATTTCTTGCATCCAGCCATCCAGGCAGGCATCCCTCTACTCATGGTGCATGCTCCCCATTATCGGCCAGGACTTGTGTGGGTGCTAGGAAGAGAACACCACACCTGACCAAGATCCTTTTGTCAACATATTATTTCCAAGATCTAGATGAAGCTAAATTATTTCTAAAGATCTGTCCAGTGCCTCTCATGGGAAAAATGTGTAAGTGATAAAATGATAAATCTGAGTTATAAAAATGAAAAGAAAAATAAACCTGGTTTTGGAGACAAAATGTTGATAGAATTTTTTGTGTGTTTGTTTTAACTTTTTGCCTTCTAGGCTCTCTCAGGGCACCAATAAGCTGATCTTTGCAGAACAGTTAGGAGACAGTGGCACCCACTCCTGCCTTCTGGGACAGCTGTGCAGTGTCATGTTATGGGGCACTGAGGGAGCAGGTTCACAGATGGGTTGTGGGAAGGCACTGGGAGTCCTGGGCTATGCACTTGAAGCTTTGGGGTATGAGTAGCAGGAGAATAATAGTAATTTTCTAAAATAAATGCCTGTCAGTGCCACCAATGTACAGACCTTAAATGACATAATTACTGTTGAATGAGACTTTCGATATTTCATAGCAATAAATGTGGCTTTTGAAATTAATATTTTGTATACATTCAGTAGGAGGATCAATGTGCAAATATTTCATATTAATATGAAAGATTATCCGATCAAATCCTAAGTGAAAAGATTCCAGAAAAGCAAGTCTGATGAATTTTTGAGAAATAAGGAAGGAATGGATATGAGGCCACATTTTGTTCCTTGTTAAAACTTTAATCTTGTTAGACACAATTTCATTTTTGATGGTAATTTTGTGGTATATATTTTACAATATATACCTTTACATTTTAAAACAACACAAACATATATGTTAAGTTGTTTGCTTTTAAAGAGGTTCATTACCAGTTGAGGCTTAATATGTTTGTTTTTCAGAAATAATTTATCTCAATCTTGTAGTTTATTGTGATTTTAATGATAATTTACCTAATTTAACTTTTTATTTAATACAGATAGGCAATAAGTAAACTACACAGAAGGAGCAGAAATTAAATAGGATGGAGGTCCACAACATGTACAATCAGAAAAATGAGAAGTTATAGTCAGCTATGTATGATGTATCAAATGCATGAATGCATTCTAATCTCATATATAACCATTGATTCTTAATTTTACTTCTTGCACTTTAGGGGTCTTGATAAGGAAGTCAGATCCTAGACGGGCCGATATGGTGAAGATTTGGGCCTACTTTTTCTGCTATTAGGTGCAGGGTCTCTGTTCTAATGCCTAACTAGAACAGGTCCATTTTGAGTTGATTTTTGTGCAGGGTAAGAGATAGAGGTTTAATTGGCACAAACACTATGAAAAGCAGTATGGAGACTCCTTGGAAAACTCGCAATGGAACCACCATTTTATCCAGCTACCCCACTCCTCGGTTTAGACCCCAAATACTTAAAATCAGCATACTACAGTGATGCAGCCACGTCAATGTTTATAGCAGCTCAATTCACAATAGCTACACTAGGTGTCCTTCAGCGGATGAATAGATAAAAATATGTGGTACATATATATTCAACTGAATATTACTCAGCTTTAAAGAAGAATGAAATTATGGCATTTGCTGGCAAATGGAGAGTGGGAGAATATCATGCTAAGCGATATAAGCCAATTTCAAAAAAAAAGGCTGAATGTTTTCTCTAATATGTGGATGATAATTCACAATTCTGGGGGGAGGGTCACAAGGGAAGAATAGTTACCTTAGAATAGGTAGAGGGGGATGAAGGGAGTGAAGGGTAGGGGATATGGGGATAGGAAGGATAATAGAATGGAAACAGACATTATTACTTTATGTATATATATGACTGTATAACCAATGTGATTCTAGAACATGTACAATCAGAAAAATGAGAAATTATACTCATCTATGTATGATTTATCAAATGCATTCTAATCTCATATATAACTAATTAAAACAAATAATTTTTTTTTAAAAATAGAGTAGGTGACAACATTTACTTACAACATGTAACCACACCAAATTTTAAAAAAATAAGTAACTCTTCAGTGTCAATGCTTTGAAACTTCTTTTCTTTCATTAAGTAGTCTACATCTCTGGAAGAATGCTGTTGTCCTTTTATCCTTTGATGATGCTACCGCTGCCAAGGGAAAGAGTCTGACCAAGCAGTCTGAAGTATAAACCAGGGTCTTTTCCAGGTATTTAGCAAATAGAGTTGTGAGCATTGACTTGAGATCTACTTTTTCAGTCTCTAAGTGTGCTAGAAGCAAGAGCTGCTGGTTCTTGCTTCCGGTCATGTCTAGAGAAGGTAGTTTGTCTGGGATGAGAAGGAAGAAGCATGTTCTTTCTGAGCGGAAGTCTGGTTAGAGAAAACCCCTGCAGATGGCTAGGGTGGTGGCTGATCAGGAAAGGAGAGCACAGCAGCACTGAGCATGGTGTGAGCGGTCAGGTCTCCTGACCTAGAAAACTTATTGACCAGTAGGCAGCATGACTGGAGATAAGATTCAGCATCCGCAGTGGTCAACAGAGAGGCCACAGAGATCAAGGCAGATCTAGATGAAGTCTCTAGATGGAAGAAACACAAAAGTCTGATTTTGAACTCTAGAAAAAACAGTGGACCAAGAATCTCTACACAAGGAATAGATGAGCATTAGGATGTGCAAACATGCCATATCAGATTCACATCAGTTTCTCCGTGCGGTTTGAAGAGTAGACAGAGTTTGGAAGACATCTTTTGTACTTGTTGAATGACTTTACCTGTTGCATGTGACAGAGGAGACCCTCAGGGAGGTCCTGAATGACAAGCACTTTAACCAGCCTATATATTCTCCTCATTTTTTTCCTCTTAATCTTCATTATTATTTGTTCTTTGTTTATTTCTTCTTATCACTTCTCAGTGTTAGTATTTTATCTTGTCTCCTGTTTTTCTTTTTATTGATTTTTTTAAAAAATAAATGATAGCGGAATGCATTATAATTCTTATTACATGTATACAGCACAATTTCTCATATCTCTGGTTGTATATAAAGTATGTTGACACTAAATCGTGCCTTCATACATGTACTTTGGATGATGATGTCTATCACATTCCACCATTCTTGCTAATTGTTTTATCTGTGTCTTCTCCTTTTTCTGATTCCTCCTCTTTCATCTTACTAAGCATGTATTAAATCATTGTGGAGCATGGACTTGGACCTTAGCTCTGAATTTCATAGTGTCCATAGTGGTCTCAGAAAGCTGGTATGCTGTTGCTGACTTTAGCAAGAAGTCTTGTGGCGAGATGAAGATCAATGTACTCGATTCCAGATACACAACTTCTTTCATGTCATTTTTTATACACTAAATGAAATCAAATCTGTTAAGCTTCTGGAATACATAAATTTATGTTGCAAATAAATCATTTTCTTATTGGATTATTATTTTATTTTAATATCATGAAGCATCCTGACACCCAATGTTTCCTCCTGCTAGAAGACCACATGTCCTCATTTTAGTGCTGAGGAGAGAAGAGTGAAATCCCTACCTCTGGGCACTGTGGACAGTTCTGAATTAGGGACGTATACCTGTGGTTGGCAAAGATTTCTGAGGTGTGAAAACAACACAGTAATAGAAATTCGTTTTACATAAAAGTGAGAATTTGGCCTGTAAAATTTTATTTGGTTACTTTACCATTTATTTTGCATTTATATGTTTTTACTGACAATGATACATAGAAAACAAAGATGGTATAGAAATGAACATCATGCCTAAAACCAAAAGGAAATACTCCATAATAAGTTTAATTTTACTTAAATGAGATGGTCAAAAAGAACTGCTAAAGTGGGATGAAGAAACTGTTGGTTGTCACAGAAGTGTTCTTCATGAGACACATTAGTTCCAAGAAGGTGCCCTTAGATGTCAAAAAGACTATAGAGACACTGAGATTAGAGATGTGACTGAAGACTACTTCTTGATTTTGGATCTGAGAGCTCTCTAGAGTTGAAGTAGGCAAGGAGTGACATCTACATTCCTTGTAGATGTCATTTAAAAACTACAGAGCATTTTTAAACAGACAACAAGCCTGTTGTTACAAAAATTGAAGAGCAAGCATTAAACCTAGTTCCATCATTAGGGAAGTGTCTCCTGAGAGTGTCTCTGGAGCATGGAGCTTCCACTGGGCATGTTTCCCCTGCTGCAGATGGCAGCCTCTGACCAGCCTGTGGTACAACTCTGCCCAGGAATCAACAAGTATGGAGCTGTGGTTCTGCCCTTTGGGAAGGAAAAACCCAATTCTCCAGGCCTCAGGAAGATGGAATCATCCAGAAAGCCAGGACACCTACTATCCTCTAAGAAGCATAGATGGTGAGACCTCTGAGATACTTGGAGGTCACTCGTTCCAGCCTACAGAGGGAAACCAGAGATGTGGGGAGCTGGATGCTCTGTGGGGAGAGCCAGCAGGGATGCAGCTTAGTTCTTGCCTCTTCATCCTATGAATGCAGACTAAACCCTCTCAGATCATGTTTTTCGCCACCTTCAGGAGCCTGGATACTTCTGAAGGGTCAAAGTACCCCCTCTATTCCCAAGTGACATTCCAAAAACCCCTTGCTCATTGATGAGTCCATTGAGGCTCAGCACCTCCAGCCCCTTTGGGTGCTGCCTATGGCAGAAGCTGTCCACAGAAAGATCTTGTGCAGAAGGTGACTGATACTATAGGATCTGACCTCCCCTGTGGTCCCTGGGTGGGGCAGGAAAGACCAATAAAGGTGCCTCATTGTGAGGTCCACACCAGGCACTTCACATTCGTCAATCATTTTATTCCAACAGTACTATGGGATATAAATACTTAAATCTCATCTATCTGCAGAAGGAGCTTAGCTCAGAGAAGTTCGTGGTTTTTCTAAAACTATTTCTCAGGATGAGTGTTTTCTAGATGAAACCCCTTGACCATTAACTCTCAGGTCCTATTTTCAGCATGGTCATGGGGTATCCTGGGTCATTCATGAATGTGAAATTAGGGGATGTCTTGGATTCTTTGCTTCAAACTAAAACTTAACCTGTTCTTAATCATAAACACACACACACACACACACACACAAACACACACACATACATAATTTTCCATGTGTGAGATTCTGCGATTTTGTTCACTGCCTTATCCCCAAACCTAAGACTTATTAGTGTACCTGCCCTGAGCACTTGGCTAGCCTACCTGTGCCTCCCCTTCATTATTAATTAAAAAGGACCCTGATTTGCGCCATATTTATTTATTGTGAAGTTTGTATTAGACATATTGACTGAGAGGTGCCTAGAGGCATGTGCCACATGTTAGGGGCCCCATGAGTGCCATCATTTTGCTGCTAGTTTGATCAGGTCTCTACAAATGATCTTTCTTCTCTGGCCCTTTCAGGGCCTTCGGCAAGCGGACCCAGAGATTCCTTTTTGGGATACACCTACCATCAACACAGAGCAGAGAAATAGGACAGGAATTTTTCAGGTTTCTGGAATATCCCACGCTTTAAAATTAAATTCATGAGTTTAAACCACCAGGGCACTTTGCATACATGAGGTGAACTGCTGACATTCTGGTCTGCATGAGCTTGGATCTTCAAATCTTCCCTCTGAGTGTGTTTCTTGGAGGGATTGAGGTTTAAGTCACCCTAAGATGATAAATTTATACATGTGTGCAGTTCAGGCCACCAAGGCACCTTTCTTTAGGAGACCAGGAATATACCAGGGGACATAAAACCCCAGGTCCCTTGCTCTTAGTAACTGGGGCTCTGGCCCAGAATGGAACTGCCACAAATGTACCTCCACTCCTTCTTGGAAGTCAGGTTCACTAAATGGCAGACTTTTCAACAGCTCAGCAGGCTTGTCTGAGCTGAATGCAGGGCAACATGGACATGCACACCACCCAGCCAAGTCTGACCTTTCCCTCCGGCTGCCTGGAAGGCCATTTCAGATGGTTCCCTGTGGCGGAGCTGTCCCCTGCGTGTTGGCTCCTTGACAGTCCAATGGATGTAAAGCACTCCTGGTGTCCTGGAACCCCTTCCTTCTCCCTGAGTGAGAAGAGTCCTTCTTTCTTTTGTATGTGTCCATTCCGCCATGGTTACCTAATCCATGCTGGCTTCTTTTGAATCTGCAGGGTCTGCAGGGTATCTCTAGTGACCAGGAAAATGAAAAAGAAGAAGTATTGCCAGTTCTGTTTGTGGCAGCTCCAATATGAAACTTTTCTCTAAAATTGTTCTGCCTATCCAAGGACTCAGAGGGAAGGTGGTAGAGCAAAATGCAGCCACCTGCAAGTCAGGTGTGAAGAGAGCCTTCATCCAGATCCCTGTCCCTCTCCCTTAGGGCAGAACACCATGATTTATGCTAGCACTGAGGTACCAGACATGGTAGAATGGAGGAGCCTTGCTGGAGGTGATGGTGAGCCTAGGGAAGGCTGACTGATGGGGTGTCCTCTTCCTGTTGCTCCTCTCACTGGTCACAGTTCACCATAAACAGCTTGATATGGATCCCTTCAAGTGCCAGGGTGGAGGGGCCTGCCTTTCTGGATGTTGTCTGATCTATCCACTGAGCTACACCATCTTCCTCCATTTAGGGCCCTATTTCTAGTTCATGATGGCGATAAGACAAAGTCTCTCACCCTAATTAATGAACTGATGTCTTCATTTAAGCCAGATCCCAGCAATTTCTTTACTGAAGTACCCATGCATGGCCTCCTATAGGGCTCCTAGAGCAGCAGGCATTGTAGTTCTTTCAAATGAGGATGTGCAGGAATTAGAGTTAATCTTCAAAACATGGGTTTAAACTTAACCGCAGTACTCTCCACCAGTTAGGAAGGACACACATCCTCCACATTTAAAAAAGAAATGATTTATCTCTTACACTAGCTGGTTATTTTCACTCCTTGTCTGCCTAATTCAAGATAAGTTCACACTTTTTTTGGTGTCATGAGTACCAGGAAAATTTATTCCCTGTGTCTCAAGAGACCTAGTCCCAGCCCCCTTTGTAAGCTGCATGCAGTTACTCTGGGCTCATCCATAGGTCACCATAGTTGACCTGCTGTTGCAGGTGGGCAAAGGCCATCTTGAGTCTGTGGTTGTACTGCTAGGAAATATCCATCCCACCCCAGCCCTGCACTAGCATCTGTGACCCACTTCCTGAACTCGATCCCATTGCCTACACATGGGGTCCACACCACCTGCTGGACTGGCTCTTGGTGCCATTAACTTAAATACTTGTACCTGTCCAGTAGTAAATTAGAAATGCTCAGGTATTTCTTAAAAAATCTCTGCAGTTGAAGTTCCAGGGGCTTTTATTCTTTATAAAGCAAAATCTATTTTAAGAACAACAACAATAAAAAAAATGTGTTGAAAGTAGGTCTCATATTCCAGGACAAATATTAGATAGTGAAGAGTGGAGGGGCTGCAGGTTCTCCAAAGTACCTACTATTGTTCTGGAAATGAATCTCCAAATGATGGGACCAAATCAAAACACTGACTGCACCACTGGGTTACAGCACCCAATGGTGGGTCACATTATGGTAGCTTAGGAAGATGCAAAACAGAGTGGTGGGGTGGCGTAAATAAAATATACCATTTCCTGGAATGAATGTTGTGAAAGCCAAAGTTCCTTGCATAAGAAAAATTCTTAAATATACAGAGGAGCAGCCATCCTAGCAAGCCCTTTTCCCTTGCAGAAATGATCACTCTCCACCCAATTTGATCAATAAAGATTATAAAAAAAACTTGCATATTTTAACGCTTAAATTGCTCGAAGAAATTTAATTGAAAACCATAGTTTCATTTTATTGTAAAGTTGTATCAGAGGTGTTTATCATAAAGAAATCAGCATAAGTCACTTTGCTTGCCTATACTTGGTGACAGGACTGTTGGGAGAAGAACACATCCATTCTTAGAGTCCCAAGGACAACAGTATGCTTAGTCCTCACAGGTGAAGCATCAATACATTCAGTAAAGCATCTCCTCAGGTGACACACTGTAATCAACAACAAACCCCACCCCATTTTTATTTTAATACCAATCTCCACACATTTATGAAATTCAGCAAATTTACCTCTTAATCTTGGCTTAAGATAGGGCTGGGCTTGGAGTTGGGAGTGACAATGCAGTTCTAAAGGTTTTCCAGGGCAGAGAAAGAGAAGAACAGAGGAGGGAGCAACAGAAGCAACCTGCTTGGAGCACCTGGCTGGGACTAGGTGGCACTGGGAGCAGAGCCAGGGGTAGGCACTTCTGGCTGGGTTGAATGCAGATTGTTGGGCCACAGGGGCCTGTGAGCAGAGGGGCCTCATGAGGGCCAAGTTAGTATAACAATCCTGCAGGCAAAAAAAGAGAGACGAAGTCAAAGGAAAGCCATTAGAATTGGTCCAGAGGCTCCAGGAGTCAGGTCAAGACCTACAGTACCAGAGGATAGGTAAAGCTCCTGCTCCCCACTGGGTGCTGGTCCTCAACATCTGCTGCTCCTCTAGACTTATTTCAGGAAACTGAAACTTGCCTTTTATGGAACTTAACATGGACCCTTTATGTAACTGAACATTAGGGCCCTTGTGGGCCCTTATCCTTTGAATTTTTGGATCCAGTTCATTATCTGGCAGAACAAAATTTGTGACTGTGATTAACATAAGGGTTTAGGGCTGGATATTATGGTGGATGATCAAGGTGGATGGCATGAGTGTCAAGGGCCCATGTAAAGGAAGCCTGAGGGAGACTTAAGACAGGAGCAGAAGGCCATGCATGCATTCACATAGGGAGATGTTTGCTACCTTGCTGGAAGGGAACACATTCTAAGAAATGCTGGTACTACAGCTCTAGAAGATGGGAAATGCAAAGAAGTGGATTGTCCCAGAACCTCAGCAGGGATGTAGTTCAGGATTTCTGTTCATCAAATCCATTTCACAATTCTGCATGTTGAGGCCCTTGACACATGCAGAGAATGGAGGCTGTCTGTTCTGTGAGGTAGGAATTGCAGGTGAATACAGTGTTGTGTAACATCTAGATTGAATGGAACTATAGTCAGGTCAAGGAAACAGGGTTTACCAGCATCCTATTGTCCCAAGTGTGCAGGGGACCCCAAACTGAGGTGGGACCTGGGGCCTGGGATCATGGGAATACTATAGTGCCTTGCTTTCATAAAGATGAATTTTCCATTTCACCTATCCTATGAGTGATACTTAAATGGCCCGAAGGCCTATCTAAATGGTGACTGCAATCCTTGGAATTTTTTACTTCTGAAGTGGATTCCAAGTTTACTCTATAGCATTAAGTTGCTTCTGTCTTCCCTGTACCCTATGTGTTCCTCTGTGGGCTTCGTCTCAGCTCCCAGTAAACTTATGCAAGTTCTTCCTTCTTCTCAGTCTAAGCCTCAATTTGGTGGTTTCAAGCAGCCATTTCCAAACCCAGCCTAGAAGGAGCATTCTATTCTCCAAATCAGACTATTTGAGTCTGACTATTTCTTTAACTTTTTATTTCTTTTTTATCTATCTATCTATCTATCTATCTATCTATCTATCTATCTATCTATCATCTATCTATCCATCATTCATCTCTTTTTCTCCCTTCCTGACCCAGATAATTTTACCAGTTCAGGGTTGAGCCTACAGTTAATAGCCACAAGATTCACCTGGGTCTGACTCAAAGAGGGCAGGGATGGCCTGGTTCTATCTGCTCTCAGGGCTCAGGGCAACCTCCAAGTGCAAACTAACCACCTCTGGTTAGTTAGCCAAACTAACCACCTCTGCCCCATTGACCATGAGCCAACTTAAGGTGTGGGAAAGTACTAACTCTAGTACTAATCACAGCCATGGCCACATCATCAGAATATCCTAGGCCACAGATTAGGCATCACTGAGGAGGTTGTTACAGGGCCCCAATACCCCCATACTCCAACACTGAGCGGAACCCAATCTCAAACTGGGAATATGGAGGACTTCCCAGCTGGGTGGTGCTGTCCTGTGTCCTGGGTTTTTCTGATTCAGGGGATGTGGCCAGTGCTATCTTCACAGAGACCATGAATATTTACCATTTTCCATGCCCCAAGGCTCTGTTTTTATTAAGGGGCCAGGTAGATGAGCCCAGGGCCATCTAGGAACAGGTCTTTGGGGCTACTGGGTCTGAGCCGACTGCCTTTCCAAGGATTTGGTGTAGCCATCATGTGTTCCCAAGGGTGACCAACAGGTGTCAGTGTTACAAAATGCAGGATCCGGACCCATAAACACAACCCAGTTATATTACTTCTAGGATTTTAACCTGGGGCTAGTCACTTAACCTCTCAGAGATACCTGAGTAAACTGAGATATACTAGTGTCTACTATACAGTTACTGAGAGGATTAAAATGTAGACACGTGGACAGTCATTAGATTAGCAGCCACACCAGAGTATTAGTAGTTAGCCAACCAGTATTAGGACACTACAAATAGGACATCCCCAATGGTGTGTTTTTTCCCCCTGGTCAACATTTCACAGGGGTGGGGGAGCTTCAAAATGGTAATCCAATCAGTGTTGGCCAAGACACCACTGTCTACCACACACACCAAACCTCCTGAATGCTCAGTAGGCTAAGTAGTACCCTATGCCATTGAAAGTAACGTTTTGAGATGAAACTAAACTGCCTGCTTCTGCTTCATCAATTTCTTCTTCTTTCTAGGTTCTTCTCTCCTGATTTCAAGGAATGAGATCCACTGACCAGAATGACTGAATGTAAGAGCAGGATTTATTGAAGAATAGAAACAGGAACAGAAATTCTTACAGTACAAGATGGAACCTGATCTCAGGTTTTCTCTGCTTGCCTATGCTTGTTTAGAGTTTTTTTTTTGTTTGTTTGTTTGTTTTGAGAGAGAGAGAGAGAGAGAGAGAGAGAGAGAGA